GGGGGCTTCAACGGGAGCGGCGGCGGCGTCGGGGGGGCCTCCGCCGCCAGCAACGCGAGCCGCCCGCTGCTCCGCCCGCGCTACCCGCCGGACAACGAGGACCTGAAGATCGGCGTGCTGTTCGCCTCGAAGGCGCTGCTGCAGCTGCTGGTCAACCCGCTGAGCGGGCCCTTCATCGACCGCGTGGGCTACAGCCTGCCGCTCTTCATCGGCCTCTCGGTCATGTTCCTCTCCACCGTCATCTTCGCCTTCGCCGAGAACTACGGCACCCTCTTCGCCGCCCGCAGCCTGCAGGGCCTGGGCTCGGCCTTCGCCGACACCTCCGGCATCGCCCTCCTGGCCGACAAGTTCCCCGAGGAGGCGGAGCGCACCCGCGCCCTGGGCATCGCGCTGGCCTTCATCTCCTTCGGCAGCCTGGTGGCGCCCCCCTTCGGCGGCATCCTCTACCACTTCGCCGGCAAGCGGGTGCCCTTCCTCATCCTGGCCTCCGTCTCGCTCCTCGACGGCCTGGCCCTCCTGCTGGTCGAGCGGCCCTTCGGCGACCGGACGCGCGACAACCGGCCCGTCGGCACCGCCATCCACCGCCTGATGGCCGACCCCTACATCGCCGTCGTGGCCGGCGCCCTCACCACCTGCAACATCCCGCTGGCCTTCCTCGAGCCCACCATCGCCACGTGGATGGCGCGGACCATGGGCGCCAGCGAGTGGGAGATGGGCCTCGTCTGGCTGCCGGCCTTCCTGCCCCACGTCCTCGGCGTCTACCTCACCATCCGGCTGGCCGACCGCTACCCGCACCTGCAGTGGTTCTACGGCGCCCTCGGCCTGGTCATCATCGGCGCCAGCTCCTGCACCGTCCCCGCCTGCCGCACCTTCTGGCAGCTGGTCCTCCCCCTCTGCGGCCTCTGCTTCGGCATCGCCCTCGTCGACACCGCCCTCCTGCCCACCCTGGCCTTCCTGGTCGACGTCCGCTACGTCTCGGTCTACGGGAGCGTCTACGCCATCGCCGACATCTCCTACTCGGTGGCCTACGCCCTGGGGCCCATCGCCGCCGGCGAGATCGTCCACTCCCTCGGCTTCGTCAAGCTCAACCTCGGCATGGGCCTCGCCAACGTCCTCTACGCGCCGGTCCTCCTGGCCCTCCGCAACATCTGCAAGATGAAGCCCTCCCACTCCGAGAGGAACGTCCTCCTCGACGAGGAGCCCAAGGGACTCTACGACACCATCCGGATGGAGGAGCGGGCCGCCGCCAAGGGCAGGAAGGGCCACCCCGCGGCCCTTAGCGGGGAGGAGAACAGCCTGGACGGCCGCCACAGAGACTTCCGAGGAGCTTCGGAAGAGGAGTCCTCGGGGGAGGACTACACCTAGCGGGCGGGCGGGAGGGTGGTTGGAGGAGCCCAGTGGTGGGGGAGGGGGGACGGAGACCGTCCCACCTGGTACCTTCATGTCCCGATGTGCCAATATATTACACTGTAACCTTTGTCTTGATGTGGTGGCTTTCTCCTTCTTGACTTTCTTGCTCCCAAAGGTAGAAGAACAACAACACCCGGTCAAGAGGAAAGCCACCAGGAGTTCTATAACGGGAGTGGTGCAGTTTGCCTAGATCTGTGACGGGCCTTTCCGATGAACTGGAGGGCAGGGTGGGGCCTGGCCCCCTCCGAAACTCCCTGGCCTGTTCTGTCGTGCCATGAGGTTTGGTTGATTGCAGTGTTTGCCTGTTGACTTCTGGCTGGTTCACAACCATGCATGTACATCCCTTGGTTTCCTCACGTCTGCCAAATCGACCCTTGAAACTGGTTCGCACATTGCAAGTGTGTTGGGTTTGGGTTTTGTTTTGTTTTAACCTTCCGCTCTTACGACTGTACACGAGCTTTAAACGAATGGGTGAGCCAAGTCCGCTGAGAAGCGTTGGGTTTGCAGGGGCCCGAAAGTTCCGTGTGGGTCGTGCTAGAGAGACGCCCTTGGTCGACGGGCCGGGGGCCGGTCCTCACTTAAACGTGGACCAGCGGGACCGTGCGGGTGTGAACCAGCCCTTTAAACTGTGTGCGCCTCTGTTATACAAGGGGAATCTTTTGAAAAGCAAAAAAATTATTATAATAATTTCAACAGAGTGACTGGTGGGATGCATATACCCCCGAGGAGTCTATCCATATTGTACGTATATAGATGCGCAAGTAAACCATGTCGAATATATATATTTCTCTCCCCCCATCCGTTTCTTATTTAATGCCGGCCTTGGGAACCGTATCCCGTTCTTTCTCCTCGGCTGGACGAAGGGGTGTGACTCTTCTTTCTGTTCGCGCTGCTATTCTGGTCGACGCACCCCCTCTCTCTGCCGCTGTCATGTTTGAGAATAAATGAGGCTGGAGGAGACGGCCGGGTCTTCGTTTTGTCTGCGGGGAGGGAGGGGGGCGGTTGAGCCTGCTTCCTCGGGGCGGGGGACTCAGTGTTCCCTCTAAGCCGAGTGAGTGTGAGCTGGCTCAACAGTTTGTTAGCCTCCAGCTCACACATGTGTGTCTGAGCTCAGGAAAGGATGGGGCTCCAGAGCAAACCGATTGAGGCCGGAGCCAAATCGCTCGCTCACCACTTTAATGCCAGCGGCTCACAAGGTGGCATTTTTGCTCACAAGACTTCACAGCTTAGAGGGAACATTGGCCGGGGATGTGTCATGGAGGGACTGAGCAGAGCTGGGGGGGGCACACACACGTCAGAGCCCTGCTTCTTTCCCCAAATCTGACGGTGCCGAACAGCCGATCCCGGTTTTGTTTTTGTTTTTTTAAAGAGTGATTTGGGGAACACAGAAAAACACTGGCAGGGTCCCGCAAACAGCAGAGCTTGGTGAAGACCTTGGTGCTCCTAGTGTCCTGGCCCCACTGCTGGACCTCCTGATGGCACCTGGTATTCCTGGCCACTGTGTGACACAGAGTGTTGGACTGGATGGGCCACTGGCCTGATCCAGCATTGGCTTTTCCTATGTTCTTATATAGAACAGAGGTCCATCAGTGGCTATGACCCAAAAGGTATAGATAGGAACTCTCAGTCTGGGGCAAGGGATGCTCTGTATTCTTGGTGCTTGGGGGGGGGGGCAACAGTGGGAGGGCTTCTAATGTCCTGGCCCCACTGCTGGATCTCCCGATGGCCCCTGGTATTTTTGGCCACTGTGTGACAGAGTGTTGGACTAGATGGGCCCTTGGCCTGATCCAACACTGGCTCCTCTTATGTTCAAACGCACACACACACCCGCAAAAAAAGAAAAGAAAAACTCAGTCGGGTAGAAAGCAACGCAAAAGCTGTGGTCCATTTTTAAAGCTGTGAGACTGGAGCGCGTCCCTCAATCTCTCTGGCGGTGCCCGAGGGGGCCAGCCGGCGGTCCCCTCTCACGCCCTGATCTGCTCGGAAGACCGTGGCGCCGACTTCCGCCGGACTGACTGCCTAACGAAGAGCGCCAGGATCGCGGCCGGGATGGACTCGGGCTGGGCGGCCGCGCCCCGAACGAAGTCTCGGGTTCGTTGGCTTCCCCTCGGAAGGCAGCCGGGGCTGCTTCGCTGTTTGTTCGACAGAGAAAACGTCGAAGTCCGGAGATTCCCCCCCCCAAAAAAAAACAACCATCAGGGTGCCCCAAGTGAATCCAGAGCAAGGACCAGGCAGGGTGGTGCCCGCGTCCTGGCTGAGGGCGCTGCAGAAAAGGCCGAGGCGACTCCGTTCCCACGGCCGGGAGATCACATGGTGGGCGGCTGTCGCGGGTCGGACACATTCTGAGGGCAGGGGCTCCCGTTCCTTTCCCACGGGTCTGCGCAGGGCAGGTCCTGGGGGGGGGGTTGGCCTGCGACTCGGGTGGGAGGAAGGACTGGCAGATCCTTAGCAGAAATTGGATTTATACCCCGCCCTTCACTACCTAAAGGTGTCTCAGAGTAGCTTACAAACTCCTTTCCCTTCCCCTCCCCACAACAGACACCCGGTGAGATTGGTGGGGCTGAGAGAGCTCTGACAGAAACTGCTCTTTTTCAAGAACAGCTCTTATCAGAGCTACGGCTTGCCCAAGGTCATCCAGCAGGTGCAAGTGGAGGAGTGGGGAATCAAACCCGGTTCTCCCAGATTAGAGTCCGCGCACTTAACCACTACACCGAACTGGCGCGGCGCGTCTCTGGGGCTTCGATCCTGCGCACGGCTGGGAAGCTTTCAGGGATGTTGCAGTTCTACGCTGGCTTCCGGGGAAGCCTCCCTGGGGCTTACTTCTGAGTAGGCACTCCTAAGGGCCCGGGATCCCACGGGCTTCCCTTGGATCTCCAGCTGCGCCGCTCCTCGGAAGCAAATCCCCTTAGAGCTCAAGGGGGATTCCTCTCAAGTAAAGTGCATTTTGACGAAGGGAAACCAGGTCGGAGCATCCCGCTTCCCGAGGGTGAAAGAGCGGGGTCTTTTCTCCCTCAATTCGACGGGCCTTCGGTTATTCCTGTACCGGATCCGTCCTTCACGCCGCCCGTCCTCCCGGGTTCCACCAGTTCAGAGGGGAAGGGATAAAAACCCAAATAAAACACCACAATTGGGGGGTGGGGGGGAGTATCTCGCTTCTTGTCGGATCCGTCCTTCACGCCGCCCGTCCTCCCGGGTTCCACCAGTTCAGAGGGGAAGGGATAAAAACCCAAATAAAACCCCACAATTGGGGGGTGGGGGGGAGTATCTCGCTTCTTGTCACTCTGGGGGTGGTCTGGATCTACTCTGGTGGGCGGGTGGGGGGGGGGGACACAAAGTGCTCCT